ATTATGAATTCTAAGACCCCATAGAGGTCACTCAAAAAAAGAAAAATGTTTTTTTTGTAGCCTCATATGAGGTTTATATGTCCGAGAGGGTTAAATCATATTACACGAAATAAATTTCTGTCAAAAAAACTAATTGGAAATTGGGCAATTAATAATTCTCGTTTCGTAAGTATATTCTTTATTGCATTCACAATAGTTTAAAAACTTCTTAATTACCTAATAGAGAATATTAAGACTATAAGAAATAGAAAAAATTTAAATTAGTATTTTAATTATTAAAAAAATTTTATTTTGTTTAATTATTTTTAATAAAATATTTCATAAGCATTCTAGTTAGTTAATCTTAATTTCTGATTTAAATTAACAGTAATTTTTTTTTACACAAAGGTAGCTAGCTAATAATGAAAATATTCAAAGGGAACAAAAATCCTTTGTATAGTGAAAAATTTTTCTTCTTCTTATTATACCCAAGTAAAAGACTACTAATCTAATAAAAAAAAATTTTTTTTAAGGAAAATTTTTCATTTTATAATTTTATTTAAAAGGATTAAAAATTTCTTTGTTTCTTCTTTGCTTTGTAAGATTTTCAGAATTTATATAGAATATTATTAAAATTTATTAGCATAATTATAAGTTATAAATATTTTTTTTTTTAAGAGTATGTACACTTTTTCCTTTCTTTTCACTATAATTAATATAAAGCGCGACAAACAAAAAAAAAAAAAATAAGAAAGAAGAAAATTTTGCAGAAAATAAAGGACAATTTTCTATGTGTTGTAATAGCGTGTGTATGTAATAGTGTGTGTGTGTGTAATATAGATGTTCTTTTATAATATTTTCTTAAGGATATACAAAGTAAAGCGAAACAGTTACGAATATTAATTAGTTAAGAAGAAATTTACAAGAAAATGAAAAAGAAAATAATGTTTACTAATAAAATTGTATAAAAAAGAGGTCCTCCCGCCACCTACTATTCCCCCCACCCTAACCCACCACTCTTTTGTATTAAAAATATTATCCCACAGGATATTCTTATAGTTTTAAATTTTTTTTATTAACTTTTAATTTTGTCTTCTACTTTCCCTTTTTATTGTAATTATTTTTTTCGTATTTTGCTGGGGGAACAAATTATTGTATGTAGCTTCTGATTATTCCTGTTTTTTAATTGTATAAGCGTATAATATAGCTCTAAACGGACAAAGATTTTCATTATATTTTAATGGGAATGTCGGAAGAAAAAAAAAACATTTCTTCAAAGAACAAGAATAATTTATATTACATTATCCTTACAAAATTGCATATTACATATTAATTTTGAAAAGTGTGTAAAAACCTTAGTCTCTTCTTTAATTGTATACTTAGAACGGAATCACAAGTAACATTGGAAATTTAATATATACAGAAAATTTAGTCGAAAACTTGAGGGAATTCAAAATTATTTGGATATGAATTAATATTCTGAGTTAATACAATGGGCTAAAAGTTTGATTAGTTTTCAAATAAGATTTAATTAAAAAAATTTTGAAATTTTAGTGTTTAGGATGTTGATATATCTTTGGTGTTATGAATTTTATGTCAAGATTTATCTCATTGAAAACTTTTTAAGGGAGATTATAGATTTTAGATTGTTGAAGAGAGATATGGGCAAAGAAATTTACCCCCTTCTGAACACAGCAGTCAGTCATTGCTTATTGTATTCTTCTAATGTTTCATTTACATTACCCCGGTCTCAAGCAAATACCCAGAAATATCCTTCATGCAATGAGATTCGAGTTCTAAGTTCTGCGGTAGAAAAATATCGATGGTTTTAAAGTTAAAACTCATTAAGTAGTAGAAAACTGTTTAATTTTGGAATCCATAGTAGTTAATTAATACAATAGTCAAAAATTTTAATCAATTAGAAATTAAAAAAAAATGAAATTTTAAGATCAATAACAATATTAATTTTTTTCTCTGTGTACTTAGTTTCGAGCTATGCAGTATAAAAATAATAATTTTCGGATTTTTAGTTACAAGAATTAAAATTATAGGAAAGAAAGGGACCTCATAAAATTTTCATATACAAAAATTATAACAGTTTTCCATTCCTTATTAATTTAATATTTTCTTAGTCTTACTTTGAATTTTCATTCAGAAAAATACGATGAATTTTCTTCTACATTTTACTATTTTCTTAGTATTTTTTTATGTAATTGGAAAAATTTTATATGTAGGTAGGTGGATAGCTAGATTCACATTTTATCTAATATACACTTATATACACATAAATTTTTATTATGTATGACAAGTTGAAGAAAATACAATTCTTTTCCTTGTTGTTATATTTTGAATATAAAGTATTAGTGATATTAAAAAGAAGCGTCATTGAGTTTAGATATAACAAAAAATTAAAATAATAATAACAATTATAACAATAATAATAAAATAGGATATATATATTGTCATTATCCTTTTTAGAATATTATTATTATACATTCATAACACAATAGTTTTTTATTTTTTGTTATGTTAACGTAACGTATCCTTTTATAATACAATAGCGTTTCTCAAACATTTTGTAAAAAATTGGGCACACAATTTTTTTTGTACAAAAATATTATTAGGGTAAAATAGGGTAATTTTTAGGGTAATAAGGTAACAATTATTGTGAATTAAATTTATTTTTAATTGAATATATTTATAAAATTTATTTCCTAAAAACATATATACAATATAAGGATATAAGAACAGATAATGGAGTAAGCTAGCTATTGTAGACTATTTTATTGTAGAATAGGTAATAGTAGAAAATTATGTGAGGTAATACTAGCAAGATGTTTATAAGCAAAGGAAGATTGTGTCAGCAAATTAATTTAGATCATTTTTAGTAGAATTTATGCAGTATTAAATTGACCCCGATTAAAATTTTTTGGTGTGTGAGTATTGCTAGAATGTTGCAATAAAATTTTGTCTCTTTCTAGTGCAAACAAAATTAATTGTATTAGAGAAATTCAATGGAACTAAAATATTTGTCCAACTGCAACAGGTTTCCTTCGGTTTTCTCATTCAGATTCAATTTTAGAAAATCGAAGATTAAAAGTAAAAGCAGTACAAACACAACTCACCATTTCAAATATTTCAAACATAAAAATATAACATGAAATTCGTCTAGACATAAAAATATAACATGACTATTGAAAATGACATATAAGCGAAAAAAAAAAAACTTCCTCTAAAAACTTTATAATTTACGGGAATTTTGTTGCGTTAGTATTTTTCTTTTAATCCTATTTCGGTCGTTGGAGAAGCATTTACTATCTTATTTCGCTTTTGGGACGGCTAGTTTCTTGCTTAATTGGGTTAACTAGGTAAGTGATGAGCTTCATGTCTATGCTTTTTTTATTTTGAATAATAAAAGTATAATAGATATATAAAGTTGTAATAGTTTTTATTGTGACCTGACCGGTGTATGAACCCGAGACCATTCATTTAAAGAACCACTGTAATAAACCCTGCACTATTGGTCAGATTATTGTTGTCATCACATAACCTGCCTTATTGTATGCACTGGGGTCGGTTTACAAAGGGTTTTGAAACGCTAATTTATCCAATTATTTCTACAACATTTATAATAATAATAATAATAATAATAATAATAATAATAATAATAATGTAAAAAAACATCTATATAAATATAATATTAACATAAATATATTTATAATAAATTGAATAATCTTATTATGTATTATGTATGTATATTTTCAGCTATTATAAAAATTAAATATCATTTCTACATACATTCAAACTCTAAATACAATTTTCTTCAAATATAAATTGAAGAATATATTTATTAAGAAAATACTTAAGAAATTAATAAAATAATAATTAAAATGAAAATTATATAGAGAGTATATATTTCAAGTATTATAGAAAAAAAAAAATGAATTTATTAAAGTGAAAAGGAATAAATTTAATAATAATTATTACCATAAAATATTCATATATATATATATACATTTACACATGCATAAAATAATTACATAATTGTTAAAAAATTGAATGCTTCTTGAATTTAGAAATAAAATTATAAATATTACCTATACTTAAATATTCACAATAATCATTATTAAAAATTATTCAAATTTTTCAATTTATAAATTATTATTAATAATAATTAATTATTCAATATTATAATAATTAAAATTCTATATTAATTGTATAACAAAAAAAAAAAAATACTTAAAATAAATTAAATAATAATTATTATGAAGGGGAGAAATTTTGTATATTGTGCCAAAATAATAATAATTTTAATATTAAATGAATTTGAAATAAAATATTAATAAAAATTAATTGTTAATTTTAAAAGTACATTAAAATATTAAAATAATATAAATTTATATAAAAATTATAGGGGGAAGAAAAAATTACCTGTAATAACAATTGAATAAATTTATCGCTTACTCATTCATACATACATATACATTCACATTATAATAATAATAATAATAATAATTGTTATTGCTTTTCGTGTATTTCCGTGTCGCGTTTCAAAAAAAAAAAAAACAATCGTTGTTATTCGGGTCGGTTCTTTCATACAAATTATTTATTAAAAAATTAAATCAAAATTAATCAAATTTTTAAAAATACTTTTATTTATTAAAAAATTAATTTTAATATTAAAAAAATATTTAAAGAAAAAATGTTGTTGTTATACAAAAATATTTAAAATTTAAATAATTAAATTTAATTTTATTAAAATAAAAAATTAAATTACATAATTAATAAAGATTATAAATAATTATTATTGAAAATATCAAAATTTTTGATCAAATAAATTTGATTAATGTTTATTTAAATAAAGAAAAATAATAATTAAAATAAAGAATTAAGTTAAAAAAGAAAGTGTTATATAAATTATAAAAATGTTATAAGAAATAAGAAAATTATAAATGAAAAATTGTGTGTTTTTGGAAAAAATTTTGAAAAAATTAATTAATAAATAATTTAAAATATAATATGAAATAGTGTAAAAAAATATATATTTAATTATTAGAAATAATTAATTACATAAAATCATCACATAAAGTCTTCGATGGAATTTTAAAACATAAATGTATTTAATAAGGTTAGTATTAAAATTTAATAATTTTTATTTTTAAAATATTTTTCTTAAAATTTGCAATAATTGTTCATAATAATAATTATTAGATAGTTTTCAGAGAGTAAGCTATGATTTTGAGCCTCTTACTCCAATAGAAATTTATAAAATTAATAATGTGGTTGAAAAATTCAACTGGTTAATTTTCAAATACTTTGTTAAAACAAATTTCTTTTCTTATTTCGATTTTTCTTATGCTACATTTTTAACTTTTAATGTGCTTTTAATGGAAATATTTCAAATGATTTTTTTCCAAATGAATTTTTCCAAATGAGAATAGCTAAATGAATTTTGTACTTTTTAATTCAATACTTCAATATGGTATTGTTCGTTGGGACGGATCCAATAAGATTTACCCTATATATTTCAATAAGATTTACCCTATTTAAATTTGCTGAAAAGCATTGCATAAATATTTTACTGAGAGTAAATAGATTTTTACCTAGTTTTTAACTGTTTGGGTACTTAAATTTTCTATCTTACATAAATGTTCGCACTATTTGATGCAAAAGTTTTATTCTAATTATAGCTCAAGAATTAATAATTTGAATATGACAGCGTGTTCCAAGAGCTACACTATGTCATTTTTAGAATTTCTATATCTCGATTGCGCCGAAAATATTGAATTTATTGCTAGCAGAGTCCAGAATAATTCGAATTTTGTCAGTTTTTACAAAATCTCTTAAAAGATGGTTATAATTATTTAATTTCGACCACAAAGTAATCGAACTTTTATTCGAGCTTAATTAGCTTGATACGTAAACTAGGGATTTCAAAAAATATATTTGAATCAATATCTGAAACGCTACAGAGTCGTGTTGAGTGACTTAAAATAAGTTTCGAATTTTATACAGTTTGAAAATTGTAAACTAAATTTTATATTAAGTTTTTAGCTATTACTTATCTTTCTAGTTTAAATTTTTTGAGATTTAAATTTTTATTTCCTGAACAGCTTTTCATTGTAATCTCCATCACAAATAAATTTTTGAATTAATCAAATATAATTTTCAAATCTCCGACAGCCAATATTATATTAGAGTCAATAACTTCTATGACAGGCAATAGGAGAGAGAATTAGTATTGTCCTTATAAAAATTAGTGTCATTCTGTTAAGAAATATAATTTAATGTCAGAATATTTTATTTTTAACAATAAATTCAGTTATTCTCCTAAAAATATGCAATATAGGGAATCACCATCCAAAATGAATTTGTCAGAATCAGTTATATTAAAATAGAACCTGGTTATATGAGAACAAACCAATTAAAATATTTTGTTTTAAAGTTATTTAACCAATGCACTTGACTCGAAATTATTGTCCGACTTGTCCCCGATCAAAATATTCATTTTTTATCGAATTTTTTTATTTTCTCATACTTTTACATTTTTTAGTCTGCCAGTATCTTATACAATGATATAAAATTCAAATGCTATTGCATATTTAGATTGAATAAAGTTGTGGGTGTAGAACAGTACTCTTACAGTATATTCCTTGCAGTACCTACATAAAAATTATTATTTATTTTATTTTTTTCGGGAGAGAAAATTTTAACAAAAACAAAAAATTGTATGTACTTTTATTATCTAAGTTTTTTTTTGTTTTATAAAATATTCATGAGGGTTTCTTATATATACTCGGTCATAAACGTATTTGTTAAATTAAACAAAAAAAAATTCATGAGCAAAAAAATTTTTTTACTTTAAAAAAAAAATAATAATTTTAATATTTAAATTGAGACGAAAAATTTATTATTACATAAAATTTTGCTTTCTAAAATATTTTAATGAACAATGTGGAACTTGGAGCCATCACCTTGAAGGTATAATATACATAAAATTAAGATATGAAAAACAAAAAATAAAATAAAATTTATTTATTAAGAAAATTCTAAAAATAAAATTTTTACACTCGTGTTGATAATTTTTAAATACAGCAAAAGGAAGAATTAGTTTTAAAGGACCTTTAATTTAATTCACTTGAGTTTTTTTTTCCAACATATTTGAAATGGAATTTTGTAAAATATTTTTGGCAAATGAGAAATTTTTGTGTGAATTTTTGCCAAATATATGTGTAATGGAGTTCGTTTGCCCTTGCGTTTTTGTTGTGAAATTCTTAGGTACTCCATTTTAGGTAGGAAGCCAAAATTTTATACACAAATGTAATGTTTGTAAGAAACTTAATTTGCAGGAAGAAAATCTTTGCGTATCATTCCCACTATTTAAAATTTATTGCCCAAATATCAAAAGTTTTCACTAAATTTCTCAAAACTTGAAAATATTATGGTTCTCTTCTTCTAAACAGTGAAATCTTCATTCTCCTAAAACTATGCAATAAGAGGAATATATTTTTATTTACAAAATATTAATTGTTCTGCTAGAAATTATTGAGTTTCGAAACTCGTACAATTTGAATTTTCATCGTATTATATTTTTGGAACTGCAATCTCTTCCAAATATTTAAGAAAACAAGAAGATAACGGTAAATATCTTGCAATAAAAAAGTATAATTAATTTTTCTCAACTCATTTGCTTTCACCGTTCAAATCAATCGTAACGTTTCTTTCAAGTTTTTTTTTTTTAGTTCATCCTAAATATATGCAATTATTTTATATGTATTGGTATATGAATGAATCAATGTAATTCAAATAATGTAGTAGAGAAGGACTATTATTTAAATAAAATTGTTGAATAAAATAAGACAAATTTCCACTTTCAAAACTTGTTGTATTCAATAAATTTTCATATTTAATAATTAATTAATTGTATATCGGCTCACTATGGAGATATTTTCGTTTCCAGGAAATTCTGAAATTATTTTATTATTCATAAAATATTATGATTGAATAATTTCAATTTTAATGAACAGCGTAGCTTATTTTTTGTATTTTACAGGGAATTTTGATTATTTTTTTAGTATCCGGAGAATAATTCCAAGTATTTGAAATAAAAGATGCAATTATTTAGTAGAAAGTTTTTGATTGATGTCATTTTATGTTTCATAGGAAATTAAATTAAATTTTTTTCTTGTGTTCATTTACAATAATTTTGAGTGTTTTGTATTTTATTAAGAAATGCCATTTTATATTTTACAAGGAATTTAATTATTAAAATATTTGAATTAGCTCCCGAAAACACATAATGGTTACCTAATAAAGAATATTTCTAATTAAAATATAATATTCTTCTATGTGACACACATAATATTCATTAGATTCCTAATCCTATATTTATGAGAATTAATTTTAAGAAAGCTATGTATTCAGTTTATGTTCTAAATTCTCAAAATATTTTATATTCTCTGTATTCGAAAAAGTTTTAAATTTAAAATAGAAAATAAGGATATTAATGTTGAAGGTTATTTCAGACCATATGCCTCTACGACACCATATAATGTGCAATATGTGCTGTGTATACGCATATGGAAATAAAAAAACTCTCTGTTATACATATTTGGATCATGGTCATCTGCCAAACTGTTTTTATAATAGTTTGAAATTTTTTTTTTTATATTTTTTTGTTTGGAAAACAAAAATGAATGGGTGTATTATTATTGTTGATAAATTCAGTCATTAACATTGGTGATTTAAATATATTATTTGTAATAATATAGCTTGCTTCATAAAATATTAGCACAGCATTAATATGAGGTAAGGCATTTTCGGTATGCCAACATATATTAAGCATAACGAGCTATACCTATAAAGATTATAATAAACCGGAAAGCTCTTACTTGGGATGAAAGGATTTCAATTTTTTTTTTGCTTTCATTATTGTTAAAATAAGTCGTCGTGCCGTATAACAGTATTATATGTACTTTTAAGCAAGAAAATTTAGGGCATAAATTCTTTTTTTTTTTAATATAGTAAAATATTTTAATTATAAGGAGATTATTATTTAAATGAGAGCAAAGAAAAGTGGTATATGAGTGGAGAGAGAGAGAGAGGATGAGAAAAATGAAAGAGATAAAGGCTATTAGTCGATTTCATGGCCGAAAGGTACTGTTTTTGTTTTCTTTCTATGGTAAAATTAAATTTGAGAAAAAATAATAGTTCTAGTTTTATAACAAGAATGGAATATATTTTATTTTTCTAGAACTACCATTATTTTTAAACTAAATAAGAGAATCTTATTGTAATATTTTTAAATTTAATGAAAAATTTCGAGTTTATTGTAATAAAATAAAAGATCATTAATAATATGAATGTAAAATGTCCTTGAGATTCGAGATTTTTGTAGTTAATTTAAAAATTTGGGACATTTTTTTAAATTTTGTAATCATATATGCTTTTGAAATATTTCAATTCCATGATATTTAATATTATAAAAATATACATACATAAATTTGATTACAGACAGAACAATATAGTTATATTGCATAATGGAAAATTAAAGGGCGAAAAAAAAAAAACAAACGTACGAAACGGTAAGAAATGTGTGGTTAAAATACGACTTTAGGAATTCGAATGGGCTCCTAGTGATATTTCGAGGAGATATTGCCTGACTGACGGTACTCTATAAGCGACATTGGCTATTTGGAGAGCATTCGGCAAAGCTGGGGTTGCTCTTCAACACAATGTTTCACAGCTGCCAGGAAGTGAACAAGAAGGATACCATTTTTCATTATGTCTGTGAATGTTCGGGTCTTAACGGAACCAGATTTGTAAGGTAGAGCAAGTGTCATGAGGCTGAACGAAAAATCGAAGATTAGCAATGGGGGTTTGGATAGATTCCTCGACAGAAGCAGATGGCCAGATGGTAAATTACGAGTATTAATAATATCTTTTGAGGAGAAGAAAGCGAAATATTTCTTAATATTTTCAAAATGCTTTGTTCTGTTCCATTGCCATTATTTATGAAGATTATTGGATCTTGACCGCCTTGTTATTTTTATATTAGAGAATCAAAGTTTCTTTGAAAATTTATGAGTAACGTATCCTAAATTTGTATTTTAATTAAAATTATTTAAA